GGATTAAAAGTGACAATGGCTGGTCGACCCTGTGAGTAAATCCCATTAGTCACACCTCACTGAATACACCACTTAAAAATTAAAGTGTAATGAGTAATTTTGAAACATTAACATTAAGATACTGTATTAAGTATTCGAAGTAGTTATCTTGAAAACAATTTGTTTTTGTCCGACGTTAATCAGCCCATTTTAAATACAGACACACTGCATATTTTTCTAAGTGCAGTTTAATACAAATTAAATATTTAATACTAAATAGTGCGGAACTAAATATGCATTATTTTATTATGATTAAAATCATATTAGATTATGTGAGACAGTTAAACTTGCTCTCTGAGAATTATCAAATGATGTACAGTATTTTGTTTTGCAGGTATAGTTTGTATAATTTTAAAATAGCTTTGAAGGCATGACGACTATTGCTTAAAACATGCATGGTTCTACGTAATTTGTCTTGATCCTCTACCGGTGATTCACCCTTCGTCCTACGGAAACACATGGAATTTTCTCTCGTGGTTGAGTTATGATATTGAATGACGCAATACTAGTACCGGACGTTCGTACTATTTAGGATCAATGCATACCATTCTTGAAACTTATTCTTAAGAACAATATATTATGTTGTGCATTTCCGGCTTAGATGGGTGAGGAGCTTATTGCTGAAAGTGATATTTTTGCCAAATGACAATGTGCCTGGGCTAAATTTACTTCAAAAGTAGTGTATTTTTACATAGGCTTTGTTTAAATTTAAAAATACTTTTTGTATAAGAATAACTTAGGTTTTTATGAAAGTATATTGTCGCAGTAGTATATTATTGGAAATATCTTAAAGTAAATCGATTGTTTTGTTTCGTTTAGTTTTTTAACTGTAATATTGCCGACATAAAATGTTATCTAATGAAAACCTTTACCCTTAAGTTCCTATAATTATTTATTCATAAATTATTAGTCAAGCACAAATTCGTTTAATCAGAATTTACTAGGCTATTTCCAAAGTAATGGTTTAAGAATACTTTAGGTAGATGTTATAGCCTCATAATTACTATATTTTAATGATAAATTCAAATAACAATAACCAGCACGTACTCTGGCCGGATAAAAAAGATTAAACTATAATACAAATTAAGACTGGTTTTAATTCAAGTAGTGTTACCAGTTACGAAGTAAATTATTTATGAAAAATATAATTGAATAATTTATGAAGAAAATAATAATAATAATACTTTTGAGTCTAGAATCAAAAAGGAGAATTATAAATCTTAAATTATCGTCGTTTTTTCTGTGCTGTAGGTTGAAATACATTAGAGGTAAGTAAACCTGCCTGCTCTACTTGCCTCGCGTAAACGCGGCTTTAGACTGTGTATTGATCTCTCATGGGTTGATTTTTAAATTGTCGTTTGGACAGTACAAATTGGTGAATTTTTCTCATTTGTATTAGAACAATAACACAATATGCCTCATTGTTAATTGAGGAACAAACTATGAATTTATTACTAGGAAATGTGAACGTACTACCTGTTGTAAATTTTAGTCGTAGGCATCTGGTACAAACTATTCGACCTATTGTTTGGTCCAAAACGTAAACAGTCAATACTTGGAAATGTAAAGGAATCATGAGTGAACAGCGTGCAGGGAGGTCCCGTTAATCCCCTACGTTACTCCGAATGGATTTAATTTGCAATTTCTTCAGATTTCCCTTTCACGACAGCTCATTCCAGTTTTTGGGGTGTCGGGTCACTCCGGTCAGTTCACCCGAGTAATTGACCTTCAATTTCAACTTAAATTTTGCTTTTATTTTACGTGGCAATCGCAAAAGAGAAATTCTTTAACACACATAAAACTAGGGTACCACTAATGATTAGACTATTTTTCCGAAATCACAAAAGTGGTTTTAATTTATTTCACTTAGTTAGTCGTCGCTTTAGACTTTAGAGTATGAAATATTTTTATACTGTACAAGACAATCATAATACTAAACGTGTTGTTTGGTTTTAACAAATTAAAAAATATTAAATCAATTAACGAGGTCTAAGCCCGTCCTACGTACGGGAATTCAGTAGTCAGTTAAAACCGTGTACAATTCAGATCAGCTAGTTTACACATATAAAGACAAAGTTTCTTGCAGTTTTAATGTGAAAACCATCTTGTAAACAAATGTTGTGTGACCAAAATATGTTTTTATTCCATCATAGGCCTATACGATATGCATTTTAAATCCGATAATTTTACAATAAAACAGCAATTCTGCAATTTTTACGATGTGAAAAGCGTTGAAGTGAGATTTGCAGCCGATTCGCACAGACGCACACTGAGTATAAGTAGCCTACAGTAGAGAGAGTAATAGTCAATTGAGAAGTGTATAGACCTAGTCAACGATACCGCCTTCCATAGCATACCTGCCTCTTCCATAATTATTATCACCACAATACAACTACCATACACAATTTCCAGTAGGTCTGAATAGAAACGACCTAAAATAAAACGATAATATCCAATAAAATTCACAGTACACATAATTTGACGTTGTGTTCATCTATGTCATCCATCTGTTTATCTTTGTATAAAACCCGGCTGAGGTTGTGGAGGTAATTTAAAATCGTGATTCCTGATTATTCTTGATCTTCTTTTTATGACATCAATATTTCTTAGCTTCAATTGTCTTAGCGTCGGCTGCTAGACTTTTTTAAATTAAAACTTAATTTCTAAAAAACTGGGACCCTAAACTAAATTTATGGCTTCGACATTCCCTAGTTCTCAAAATTATCTTTCTTTCAACACAAAAATCATGAAAATCCGTCGAGTCAAGCAGACAAACATTAATTGTAAACAAAAAGCTACCATGAAGAATTAAAACATGTAAACATTGTTATTTTTCTATTTTTTCCTTGAAAAGTGGAGTAGTAAAATAATTTGCATTTATCCTTTTTTATTAAGACTCGTGTACAGAGCCTCGATTTGTACTGTGGTTTAATTAATTTTGGTCTAAACTATTTTAAACTGTGGTCTAATTATCTCTACTAATCTTACTTATTTCCTATAATCAATGACAAAATAAGAGTAAATAAAATAACCTCATAGTTCCATAGTTTATATTTAACCAGCTGTTAGTTAAAACAAATAATTATATTGCTCTAAAACAAATCGAAGATTACAAAGATTGCTTTAAAAAATAATTTGAACATCCTAGTATTTTACTATGTATAATTTAATTAATCTGTCATCCTCTTACAGAAGAATTGAACGTATCAATGATTAGCATTACACATAATATAAATAAGTCAACCCTAAGTATGTCTTTACATTTTTATCCAAATGCTGAATTTGTGACACAAAAGCTGAATGTTTACAGCTGTTATGTTAAGCAAATTATTTTATGCCAAAAGCTAGTTTAGAATCTTAGCGTCGGCTGCTAGACTTTTTAAAATTAAAACTTAATTTCTAAAAAACTGGGACCCTAAACTAAATTTATGGCTTCGACATTCCCTAGTTCTCAAAATTATCTTTCTTTCAACACAAAAATCATGAAAATCCGTCGAGTGGTTGATTCAGAATCGTGAAATAAAAAAACACTGTTTCGTTTTAATTTATTTCCTATATTACTGAACACTGTATAGGCCTACAATTATAATATTTGTTGAAACATTAAAACTGGTCTTTATTCAAGTACTGTTACTAGTTGCAAAGTAAATTGATTTATAATAAAAAATACACTGATGATTCTAGAATCAAATAACAAATATTGTATCTGCCCGCTGTTCTTTAACAAAAATATTTTAAATTTGTTGTATTTTCAATTTGAAGCGGAAGTTGGTTGTAAAGTTTAGGACCCAAGTATTGATATAAATGACGAAAAGATTGTGTACCTATTTACTTTAAGTGATTTGATATATTATTTATTTTCAAAGCTTCTTGCACTGTAAGGATAATTAGGAATTACACTTTCTCTGTTTACGCTCCGGATAAAGATCTATCTCAAAACCTTACAAATAAAAATATGTTGGACGAGTAAAATGCATAACTTCTGGTGGAATCGAAAAGAGATAGTTCGTTTAGATTTTTTCACATGTTTTCTACCTTTGCACTTTTTGAAATGATATTGGACAATTATCAATTATCAATTATCAATCATTGAGATGGGGACGCCACCTAAATGTGGTTCATTATTCAACTGAAGGATCAGGTTTTATATTGCAATTTAAATTCGAAAGTGGCCTGGTAATTTGTTGATACAACAATAGTTTGGTAATAAGTTGCACTATAAAAATATTCTGGAATCAATGGTGTAGTCAATGAGGCGTGACTAATGGGATTTACTCACAGGGTCGACCCAAGCATTGTCTTGTTCAACCCTCGTAAGTAGGGGATTAGTTTCTTGCCCGGGTCGGACCAAGGAGCGCAAGCACCTCTGCGCTCCTTGGTCCTACCCCCGACGAATTCTTCATCCAAGGGGTTGACAGTTTTACGACTTGCGCTCCTCTGTCCGTTTCCCTTCAAAATGAGGGGTCACTATAGGTAGCTATTTGAAAAAATAAGTCACCCCCTACCCACTACCCTGTTAGGGGGGTTAAACAATGTTTTTGGTGTAAAAAATTGCGGAACCTTTGTTAAGAATCAATTCTACAAACAGAATGTTTCTATCTATTTCGGTTTTAAAAATACAGATTTGTTTCGAGACTTAATTTACACACATTCTACGTCATTTTTTTTATAAAACGTGGCTACAGCTGATCCGTAAATTTCATTACAGTACCCAAAAGTCAATTTTACATTCTTTAGTTTACACTACACTGAACAAAGAGGAAGTTCTAAGTAATATCATGTTTCGAGTGTACATCATAACTGTCGAATAGCAAAAAACACTTACCAAATACAAACACTTCTGCCACCGGAATTCGTAACAACTGGTTCCTCGCAAAGTGATATGACGTTTGTATTCAAGAGGTCATAGCTTTTAGGTTACATAATGAGCAAATAAAAGATCCATATTACGTAACACTCACCGTACCATACGATGTCTGGTCCTCGGACTCAAGCAGGCATGGTTCCGGGGACATCTGCGAACATGGTTCAGACATGAGCTATTTACACGTGTAAAGGCACGAACACAGATAACAGGCTATCTGGCAAATTTCGCACCCAAACAAACTTAACACTCTTTACATTGCCACATTGTAACAAGACCGCGTTCATACAAACCTACGATTAAATAGAAGGTTTTGCTTATCACCGGTTTGATAACCTAATGTCAACATGAAATCTTCCACTATCATTCATTCTATTTGTCTCGAAGATTTTCACCATTGAGATCATTTTCCTTTGTGATTCTATTGACGAAGCCATTGAACTTTGGTTGCACAACCTGTGATAATGGAAGAGAGATTCCCGTGTGAGCAAACTGGACGTGGGTCTTTAGCTAATGGACTCGTGGGACACAAAATTACATAATAAGTAATAACAATACAGGGTGAATAAGGTCCCGGGCGGCTTAATAGTTATTGATAAAGATAAATGAAAATCCTTCTTTATTGAGGCGAACTTAGGACTTCGTGGTCCTTTCTTACAGTTAACCTCTAATTCCTCTCATAAAGGAGTTACAAGATTTGAAACAAAGTTACTAAGCATTAAAACATTTTAACTTATTATTCAGTTAGGCACAACGATGTAAATAACTACATCATAAAGGGACCTTCACGCAGAGTCAGAAGACATAGTTTTGTATTCACATTAAATAAAAGGTGGTTATTGGTTATTAGTGGAATACAATGTCACAAACCCGAACGCAAACGGACAACCGAGCCAAAAATGGTAGCCAATCAAAGAAATCTTTAATTTTAGAATTTCATCCACTGCATCGTGGTGTAATAGTTACAAATTCGAGAAATCTTTAAACGCTTGGCATTTTTGACTCGGTTTATCCGTTTGAGTTAGGGTTTGAGACATTGTATTGTACGTTATGGCCTTTTACAGATTTTTATGAGCGTATGTATAATTACATATTTTGTTTAAATCTTTATCTATATTTATTATTTACATCTTTAAGCTGGAAGTTTATTTTTTCTATTGTTTATTTATATATACTATCATTTTAGTTACTAGTTTGGAGGTAATATGCCCAGCTTATATGTTTTAATCAACATAAATGGCTTATTAGCCACTTGCACATTTCGTAAAAAATCTTTAAAACTGTATTAGTTTTAACTGTAAATGGTTTTGATACTCAACTACAGTATTTAAACTGTCTTGTAGTTTTAAAAACCTGGAAATTTGTTAGATATGCCAATATGGGATCGTCAGTGGCAGAAAAGATTGAATTGCAGTATTGCAAAGAGGAAAACTATATAATAAAACTAATAGCTTCGCCCTTGTTTGATACCTATTGTTATGACTAACACTACCAGCTCGTTAAGTTAAAACGTTTTGTGATAAATGTATTAATACGCTAAAAGCAAACTATTTACTTTATAAACCGAAATAAGTTATCTCTTTAAAATATTTAATGGATGTTTTAGGTTTTAAAAGCTCTTTTGCAATAATAAGCTCTAATACACTGTGGATGCGATGCTTCGTGGTGTGGATTGACGTAAACACTATTGAGTACTACGACTATCCGCAGTACCGGTACTATCCTGATAATTAGACCAATTCGTCAATTACAAGGAAAAAATGTGGCTTGGATTCCACAATAAACTGTAGGTCCCATAGTTGGCTGTATGGGCTATTAATTAACAGCTGTGTCTAAGGAATGTCGGCCTTAGTCACCAACAAGACTACAAGATCGCGCTACTCATCCTACACTCATCTCCATTTTATACTTGTCTTAAAATACCTACTTTGTATGGTCACAATTTAATAAGAAAGTAATTAAAGTATAAACTTGTAACAAATTTGACTCAAAATTATTGGTACCAGATGGTATGAAACCATTTAAATTAATTAATTATATTTAGAGAAACTATTAAAATCTAAGTTCAGTTTACTTTTTTAACCAGTTAAAGAGGGTAAACAGTTTATTTTATAGAGTTATTTAGAAATGCCATATAAATTTATAGTTTTCTCTTTTGAAGGATTATTCGTTTTCGTTGGATTAGAATTCACCAATAAAGTTCAATATATAAATGTGTTAGAAACATACCGATTTACCGGTGCATGAAAGGCTAAGGCAGGTGGTGCGTTTCCAAATTTTTCCTGACAACTGAACAGGTTTTTTTTTTCTCGTATCCACGCCAGAGGTTTGGGTTTGAGATGTGGTTTATTTTCTTTAAACAAACTCATCTCAATTTACATAAGTGTGGTGGACTGATTATTTGTTCAATTAACACATTTAAAATTAAATTAAAATTAATAAAACATAACTTTTAGTAAGTTCACTCAGTAACTATAGCTAGTAAGTGTAATTAAGTAATGAAAATGTGAAATATGACAGTGATAACCTTAACCTAACCCAAAAGGTGTACAATTTAATTTTAAACTTGTTCAGAAATAATTGTATATGATACTGGCGGATAATTGAATATTGTGTTCATAAGGATACCGTGAATGGAGGCATGGAGTATATTCTATTTGATAATTCAAACATTCAGTCATTAAAAAACCTACCTTTATACTTTTACTTTCTCCCCCCATACCATAGTATATGGAGAAAGTATTGTTTAACTTTATATTTTTCCAAGATATGCGTAATTTATTAATATGCTTTGAGTGTGCACCAGTAATCTAATTTCTAAAAGGAGGCTGCGTTTCAAATTAAATTGAAACTTTTGAAACTCATCCTGTACTTTTTCAGAAATCGTGTTGATAACCTATGATTTTTCAAAGAATTAATGAAAAAATGAAAGAATGAAAATAAAGAATGAAAGAATGATTTCTATAATGTTGCAACAGTTGATCAGTATTGCAATTGATTTGATTCAATGTTGATCGATTAACTTCCAATTTGTTTATTATCCATCCGTTTGTACTCAGTACATTTAATTTGTGGGTTAGAGATATTTTTTATTAGAATTTTTTCCACTTAGACCTTGATTTATTCTCTCATTAGCTAATTTACTTTCGTTTTATAAACTAGTTTCGTAACCAACCGAACTACGGTGATCGAGCTGGTCTAGTAGTACGAGGCGGGACACGAGACCTCGATCCCCGGGTACCCGAGTTCAAATCCCATCAATCATCGAGGAATTTTAATTCAGCGACTTTTCAGAACTAGCTTGAAGTAATTTGAAAAAAAAACAATTCCGGGCTAAATCCTAGTAAAATAACTAGTCCTACTGGATATTCACATAGTCAATTACGTACTTACTATTGGAAAAAAACAATTATTTTACTTACTAAACAAAACTTTACAAAACACAAAAAAAGGTATTAAATTGTTTACTAAATCGACCTACTGTAACTGGGTCCAAAACCTAAACTTCAAAATTACCGTTTCTAAACTTACATAAGACACTCAAAGGGGAAAAGGAATTTACGATCCGTCAAATTACTAAAACGTGTTCACAGACGGGCTGTGTTCACGTGACACGCCTGCCTGTGTTTACAAAGATCACGTGAGAGTGAGATGTTGACAAAAAGTAGTTCCTCCGCCACCAGGTAGCACTGACAACCTAAACTGTACTGCCCTGCGTCATACCGGAAACTGACACTCATAATGCGTTTAGGTACAATCCTATAAACCGGAAATGCGATCGCATTGTTACGCAATAACTTCCAACTTAAGTTCAGGGTCGCTTTCACAATTGGAACTGTTTGCAGTCGAGTGGTTCTAGTGTTTGTTATCAAATCTGAAGGCCACTGGTTCGATTCCAGGCAGATACGATGTTGGACTGGTGATTTTCATTGGGCTATCAATTGATGATAGTAGTTACAACATTTTGACGTTAAATAGCAACAAGAGTATGGTTTGGACTGTTCCCATAAAAAAAACGTTTAAGACTACAATAGCGTAGTTAAATACAACTAAAAAATGAAAGTGAGATTAGAATGACTAAATAGTATTGTGTTAAGTTGTTGATTCATACCGGTTTGATTGTAACTAGTACGATCAATGGACAGTATGATTTACCATACGTTACTGACCTTGCACATTCCTTATTTAAAATGCAACGTTTATCAAACCCAAGGTTCGGCTCGATAAATCAACGATAACCTGTTCTGTTATTGCAACTTGTCACAGCTGATATAGACAAAACTCCGAAAAGGTAAACTAACAGCCCATTAGTTTTTTTAGACATTTAACCAATGGAAAATTAAGATTGTTCATGTAATTTTCTAGTTATAATACCAAAGGTCATAAAAAAGTAACAAATAAAAAATCATTTTACTTATAGATAGTTTATTGAAATATATAGGCTAGACATAAATGCATGAACGCCCTCTGCCTGTATGTAATTTACTATACAGGTTGAATAAGAAGTCAAGACCCCCCCTATCTGATATTTTTCTAAGTAAATATACAGAGATATCATTTTGGTGGTCTTGCGATCTTGGCATGAAGTTTCATTTTATGATTTTGAAATGTTTAAATGTCCCCCAAAAAGGGGGGATTTAGGGGGCAACTCAAAATTTTGTAATGTAAACCCCTTTCAAATGACACCTAACTTTAAAGTGTTTATAAAAACTTTAAGAATGGTGAAAACCAGAGTTTGCTATTTCATCTCTATCCAAAATGATAGCCCGTCAAATGTTATGGAAAATCAATGGTAATATTGGTTCGCAACTGTAATGTTGGCTACCATTTTGAATTTTGAACTGATTTTCACCATTCTTTAAGTTCTTGTAAACACTCCAAAATGAGGTGTCACTTGAAGGGGGTTCATATTAAAAATTTTGAGTTGCCCCCAAAAAAATGTTAAATCATAAAGTGAAACATCCCGCTATACCACCGCTATGACCACCAAAAGGATATCTCTGTATATTTACTTAGAACAATATAAGAGGGGGTTCTTACTCTTTCACCCTGTATGTATACTACTATATGATGTATATGTATATGTTACTATATGACGTAACTAACGCTAAATGTAACTTACATATACACGACAGAAGCCTAATTTACATTAAAAATCTATTGTCCATTATAAGTACGAAAGTTCTGAAAATGTCTAGACGTAGCAGGAACTATAAAATCTACAGAATTCACCTTAACAAGCGGTCCAAATAAACATTGAACTACAGGTACTCAGGTTT